ACTCTGATTATGATTTGCACTTAGATAGACTTGGGTACTGGGGTAAATATATTATCTTCAGAGGGTTAGAGCCACCGACCTTCAGGGGGTTAGGTGGTCCGTTCAGGCTCTGCAGGGACGGTATGGCTACTGTCAAATCTGTCTTGGGCTGTGTGATCTCTACGTATTTGATACTCTAAAGGTTGCCCTGGGAGTAGTGCACTGTACATGGCATTCTTATATTCTCGCTTGCCCTTTTCATTCAATGGTTAAGATCTAAACACTCCTGCATGTGGCAGCTACTGTGAACCGACTAGTTTGCTTTCCGACAGCAGGCTACTTGTGAACACAAACAGAGATTTCTTTATTGAGCCATCACCTCTGACACAAAGCTATACATATACGTCAATATAAAGTAGAGCATAGAATGACTGATAAGAAAGCAACAGTTCAAGCCAAAACAAACGAAGTTGCATCCCCATAAGAGAATGATATGCATTTTAATGAGACTGGAAAGTGTAATTCACTAAAACATACCTGAAAATAATAAACATTGTTATTATGGAGCTTTACTGCCAACAGATGGTCAGCTTAATGAGGCAATTTTATTGGAACGAGCTGGCCAGTGACATGACGTGCATCTTCAATACAGCGACGTTCATCCCTATGCTGTAAATCTGATCAAAATTACCACTAAACTCGGTTTCTTGTTGTCCTGATTTACAGTTTCAGATTATAACCATTTGTATTTGCTCTCCAACAATCTGCAAAACATTTTGTTTGATAGCGACATGGATTTATAAAGCTGACTAAATGAATTTTTTTGAGTGAACACCCCGTGATATCTACCATCGGAACATTGATATGCTTGTGGAACACTGACAAGAGGTCGCGAGTAAAGAAGATTAGTGCATTATTGAATGATTCGTTAAACGTTTTCAAGAAAATTAAAGATCAAAATTACTGAGAACAAGCCTAATTAACTTACCTATCTGAGAACCCAATATATACTGTTGCGCAATGCCCAGCTGCGGTAAGATAGCTTTCCTACAAAGCGGGTTTAGGGTTTCCAGAAAATGGCAAGGAAAGGCAGGGTGGCCAGATTGGGCTCCAAATCGGCGATATGCCATAGACAGAGCAAGAACATTCTAAAGCGAATTCTTACCAGTTTTCTCGAGAATGTTCTCAAAGGCAGATCAAAAGCTATATAAACACTGCTTGTACGTGGAGTAGAGTATCTTGAAAGTAGTAGAGAGTATATTGAGTTCAATAGTTGTTCAGTAGTTCCATGCTCTCGAATTAATTTACACTTTTGGCAACAAGCTTTAGAATTGTTGTCTCTAGAATGTAGCTGACCTATAATTGTTCTAATACTTATTTTAAAACTTAACTCTGTTATTGTATTATTACTAGATCTTTACGTATGGATATTTTATTACTATGTATTTAGAAATTGGTTTGCATAAACTGAGAGTAGTTAAATTTATTAAAGTTATTTCAAACTGAAAGTACGCTATTGATTTCGTCGCCATTTGAATGTAGGAACGTAAACAGTAGTAGTGGCCTGAGTTCAGAGATTAGCTCGAGAGCGATCGACAGAATCGGGAGCTCTACTTTAGTGCTTTGCCATGAAGCTGTCTTCACCGTTATAACCTGATAACCTGAAGGCTGTGTTGTTGATTGTTTCAGCGTGTTTATTATAGTTTTTCGACGACTGTAAACGTGTCTTTGGAACACTCCTGTGTAATACTGGCCAATAAATTGTGTTTTGATACTTCCTCAAGTGTTTTCGTCAGTGACTCCAAATCCACGAACCCCTAGAACGTAAAAATACTAATACTATAAACAGATTATCGTAAAAATATGTGATTCGGTCTTCATTTATTTAAATATTGGTTTTAGACGTGTAATTTCAGTCTAAAGATTCTCAAAATAATGTAAAACAATATTTGCAAATTTTTCGACTTTGAAAGTTGAGAGAGTAAACAAAAATATTTCTTTTTATATGGTACCTGTTCAAAAACATTTTGACTAATAAAAAATTCAATATTTTATTTATTAAATAGAAAATATTTCATGCTCTTATGACCAGAATCTACGGATATAACCCGAATGAATTTATTGAATTAAGTCACTTTTCGGTGGTTGCTAGAGATAGAAATTTACCTATTTCCCATTAAGATTAGCGAGTAACTAGCTGCTCATTTTGGTGATATATGGTTACGTATAGAATAAAAGAGCATTCTTTGTTGAAGTTGTAACTTTATAATGACAGCATGATTAAGCAGTCTCTGAAACTTTGAGTATTTCATATCTTACTTATTACACAATAATGGATATTTTATTAATTAGCTCGCAAAAGAAGCAATATAAAAAGTTAGATTTTTTATTGACAGAACTTCCTTTCTTCAAGGTTTTAACTATTTTCTTTAATCCTATGCTGTTTTATTTTTGGAAATTTAGTAACTAAAAAATAGATACATAGGATCAAGATTTAAGGAAACGAAAACTGTAATAACTTATCTCCAACACCCTGTAATTTCGTAAGTTAAAATGTAAGATTTTGTTCATTTGCAACATTATAATCGTTAATGACCGAATACTTATTTCCGAGTAAGTTACAAAACAGCAGCTAATAAATCTTAAGTGAAATGATCTGCACTCTAAACTTCAACATTCTGATCGAAGACAATAATTATGCGCTTTTCTTTTTTTTTTCCTCGTTGTCAAGCTGTTTTTCAGGCATGAAATTTTAAAATTTTTGGTAATACAACAATTTATCGCATTTTAAAATATTTCACATACTCAAATATGTATATTTTTATGAACATAATGAGAATCCTCAAGTTTAAAATCTTTTTTTTTTGTTGTTTTTTTTTTTTTTTTTTTGTCATATTACCAACTTTATATTTCCTTCTTACAACAGATAACGAAACACTTTAAGTCACTGCTTAATGTGAAATATTTGTCTGTCAAATATACTAAATACTAGTCAAAATATAAATGCAGCATTGATAAATTATATTAAATTCTCTTAATGTTAATAACATAGGACAAAATATTACAATTGAAATTTCGATGCTTCGGTTAAAAAAAAACTGCACCAACATTTCACTTTGAGTATCTCAATTTTTTGCATTTGAAACCAAACAGGAACGTAATTTTAAGTACTCTCTCTCCATATTAGTAACTTGTTGAAGGACGAATATTTAGGTATTTGTAATAAATCTGTTTGTTGACACAAGAAATTTATTTATTTGTGATGCTATAATTCCCTCCCCAAAGTAAAAATAATTCTAGCAAATTACTGGGTTTAATAAGTTTGTGGAGACATTAGGTTAATTGGAAAAGCCGGAAGGATGAAAAATATGCAATCGCCTTCGCCGGGAATCGAACCACGGACCTCTGAAATACCGGCCCAGCGTGCAGAACCACTACACCACGAAGGCACGCTAGGAAAGCGGGAGCAATATCTTATGTACACTTCTTTTTTAAAGGGCGACTGGGGTTTTTAGGGGATCCATTGTCCAAATCCTTGGTGTGGAAGATCCTCATCCAACACCCTTTTAGTTCGGGCGCCACTGTAGATATATTAGGATTTTTTGGAAGCGAGAGAGATTGAAAAAATAGTAACCGCCTTCGCCGGGAGTCGAACAACGGACCTCTGGAATATCCGGCTCATTGTGCTGACCACTACACCACGAAGGCACTCTAGGAAAGCGGAAGAAATACTTTATAAGTTATTATAAAACTTTCTTTGATTAAGAAGCTTCATAAAATCCCAGTAACATTTATTGATTTCCCCGTAAAAATTTCGTTCTTCAGCCTTTTAGTAAGTTAACCATTTGTGGTTCAGTAGAGCTATTTTTCAACAGATTGCTTACTTATTCATATATAATGAAGTGGTATTAAAAATTAAACTATCTTTTTCGTGTTCTGTAATTTCAGAAGATGTACAAAAGAAAACATGATCCTTCTTATTTTTTTTTCCTTCAGTGGAATACTTGGTTCTGCCATCAAACGAAAACTGTTCTATACAAGCCCAAGAAGGCATATTCGAAATTAAAAAAAAAAAAAAAAAAAAAAAAAAAAATCAATCTCTAGCTTCCTGAGGTTACGTTTTAGTATTAACATCTATTAAAAGCAATGAAAAATGCTTATTTCTGTAACAATCTGCTTTTGAGTTCCATCAGTTTGTAGAGACATTAGATTTTCTTTATAGTAGGAGTCGTGAAAAATGAGCAATGGCTTCGCCGGGACTCGAACCTGGAGCTCTCGAATACTCGCCGAGTGTGCTACCGTTACGTCACAAACGAGGTAACGATGGAAGGAGGAAGAAAATGCATTCTATGCTTTCCCTGTTAAAGGGCGACTGACGGTAGCCAAATCTCGTTGGTGAGGAATTATTGTTCATCACCTTTTAGTTCGGGTGTCATTGTAGAGTCATTAAGATTCCCTTGAAGCACAGGAGTTATGAAAAATTAGTAATGGCTTCACCAGGACTCGAACTTGGACTTCTCGAATACGTACCGAGTATGCTACCGTTACGCTACGAAGGCATGCTGGAAGGAGGAAGTTAGTCTTAAAACATTTCGAGGACTCGAGAAATTGTGTCTTTCTTTGCTAGGAAAGCTTATTAAAGTTAACTTGAATTGTAGCTCGAATTATGCTTAAATTTCATTTCACAAAATTCTCTTACATCTGTTTTACTTGAAAGTCGGTTATGAAAGAACATACAACAAGTGTAAAATCATAGCTCACTTACCTGTGAATTGTTCAGAAATGCGTTTAAACAGCTCTTGTATAGCAGTGTTGTTTCCTATAAACGTGGACGACATTTTTAGGCCTCTTGGAGGAATATCGCAAACAGCAGTCTTAACATTGTTTGGGATCCATTCCACGAAATAACTGCTATTCTTATTTTGCACGTTAAGCATCTGCTCATCGACCTCCTTCATACTCATACGCCCTCTGAAGACGGCAGCCGCAGTCAGGTATCTACCATGGCGAGGGTCGCACGCTGCCATCATGTTCTTGGCATCGAACATTTGCTGGGTTAATTCTGGTACCGTTAATGCTCGATATTGCTGGCTGCCCCTAGATGTCAGAGGAGCGAATCCAGTTATAAAAAAATGCAAGCGCGGGAAAGGCACCATATTCACGGCTAATTTTCGTAGATCTGCATTCAGTTGGCCAGGGAATCGGAGGCAGGTAGTCACACCCGACATAGTGGCAGAGACGAGGTGGTTCAGGTCACCGTAAGTAGGAGTCGTCAATCTCAAAGTACGAAAACAAATATCATATAACGCCTCATTGTCAATACAAAAAGTTTCATCCGTGTTCTCGACCAGCTGATGAACGGAGAGCGTAGCATTGTAAGGCTCTACTACAGTATCCGATACCTGTAAGAAGAACAAATATTTAATTGTGTAAAATAAAATTTTACATCCTATGAATAATATAAAATCTGATGTGTACACCACATGACTTCCTTGCACGGAATATTAAATTATACGCATTTTTTGTTGCATTTCCTTTAAACTTTTTGGATTCAATTAAATCCACTTCGTCGATAGCACATAAACCACAATAGAATAAATGCACTTTTTAAAATTCACTATATTTGTTTACTATAACGACACTGGTGCTAGGTTCACTTAACAGCGTTACATTTCGTCGATATTATAACTCAGAATGCATATAAATTTATATAATTTGAAGAATTATCTAATTATTGCCACATGTTCTATTCAAATACTATAATAAATCTAGAACGATGTATAAAAGGAATTAAGCAAACAAAACAAAAGAGAAAATGTTTTCCGAGACTATTCAGTATTCCTCATTCAATTAATTCAGTTCTCACTTCTCGACAAGGCAAAAATACATAAAAACTCAAAATATCTATATTAAAAATTACGAAGTAAATCTTAAACACTTATTTCCTCGAATAAATTCCAGAATGGGTTAAGCAAGATTTAATTCGCAATAATAGAACAAGACGTTGTCTTTGTTGCTGCGAAGCTTAGTTTCTATAGATTGGCAACAAATCCGCTATTTTGCCAAGCTTGAAAGGTAAAAAATGTAAACAATTATGTCCTCCATCGCAAAATTCATTAGGCTTAGCTGCACTGAAACAACTTTTAAATTGTTGATAACTCCACAAATATTGCATGCAGATTTACTAAAGGCATAAAAACCTTAAGCGGAAGATAAGAATAACATAATTCAATCATTTTTAAAGCAAAAAATGTACAATTTACAAACATATAAGAATAAAGAAACTGAGCTGACTGAGCCGAGTAACAGAGTGGATCCATATATATATATATTTATACACTTTTGTTGCGGCAGATTGCAACCAAAATACGAGGTGCACCTTTACATGTTATAGCAGTCTTACATACGAAATTTCACCGTTCTGAGGCTACTCGCTTTCGAGTTACTCGAGATACGTACGTATGCACAGACGCCACGAAAACTTTTCTTTAGAATTGATTTTAAATCAGTTTTATAATTTTTTTTTGGGGGGGAAAGAGCCCTTTATTCTGTCCTTACTTGCGGATATCCCGCAAAAACATCATTAAATTGCATTGGATAGCGGTCAAAATCGATATTTTCGTTGAAATCTGATACCCGAAATTTTTCGCGATTACAGTACTTCTTTTTTTACTTCCTTGTACGAAGTAAGAAGGAAGTATTGTAATCGCGAAAAGTTTCAGGCAGCATATTTCAACGAAAGTATCCATTTTGACCGCTTTCGAATGCAATTTAACGATGTTTATGCGTGATATCTGTACGTAAGGACAGAATAAAAGACTCTTTGCCTCTAAAATAATTATAAAACTGCTTTAAAATGAATTCTGAAGATGATTTTTCGTGGCGTCTGTACGAACGTATGTACGTATGTACGTACGTATCTCGCATAACTCAAAAACGAGTAGCCTCAGAATGTTGAAATTTTGTATATAGGACTACTCTAACATGTAGATATGCATCTCGTATTTTGGCTGCATTCGGCCGCGCCAAACGTATATATATATATATATATATCCACTCTGTTACCCGGCTCAGTGATCTCAGTTTCTTTACTCTTATATGTTTGTAAATTGTACATTTTTTGCTTTAAAAATGATTGAATTATGTTGTTCTTGTCTTCCGGTTAAGGTTTTTTTTTTTTTTTTTTTTTGCCTTTAGGAAATCTATATGCAATATTTTTAGAATTATCAACAATTTTAAAGTTGTTTAAGTGCCACTAAGCCTAATAATTTTTCTGATGGTGGCCATTGCTTGTTTACATTTGAAACAGTAGAGTAGTGGATTTGTTGCCAATCTAGAGAGACTGAGCTTCGAAACAGCACAAAGATAACGCCTTCATTTATTATTGCGAATTAAATCATGCTTTAATCCTTTCTGGAATTTTTTCGAGGGAATAAGCGTTAAAGATTTACTTCAATTTTTAATAATTAGTAATTAATTTTAAAAACTAGTAATTTTTAATACAGATATTGTGAGTTTTTATGTATTTTTGCCTTGTCGCGAAGAGAGAACTGAATTAATTGAATGACAAATACTAAATCGTCTGTGGAAAACTGTTTCATTTTTGTTTGGGTTTGCTTAATTTCGTTTATACATCGTTCTTAGCTTTATTATAGTATTGTGAATATTACATGCGGTTCAACGATTAGATAATTCTTTAAATGATATAAATTTTGTGCATTCTGAGTTATAACATGAACGAAATATAATACTGTTAATGAACCTAGCTCCAGAGTGTCGCTATGTTAAACAAATAGAGTGAATTTTAAAGAGTGCATATTTATTCTATTGTGGTTTATGCGCTGTCGGCGAAGTAGATTTAATTAAATCCAATAAGTTTAAACGAAATGCAGGAAAAAAAATGCGTATAATTTAATATTCCGTACAAGGAAGTCATGTGGTGTACACATCAGATTTTACTTCGTTGAAGGAAGGAAAAAAGGAATTGAGATATATAGAACAATTATAACAAACTACGAAAGTAACAAGTGCGATTTTAATGAACAATAATTGCCACAAATTATTAGATCCAAAAAGTGATCCTCTTATTTTTTCCAAGTTAGGATTTCTTACTGCACCTGCAGGTGTTTTTTTGCTTTGTGTTTCAGCTATAATAAAATTTCATATTTTTATGCAATAATATGTGTTTTTGCACTATAGCAAAATTTATTAAAGTCTTTTACAAAGCCATTTTTGTAGCAGTATCCAACATTCTGAAGAATATAATTTTGACTAAGTAATATAGTTAAATTGTAATATATTTAAATTAGTTCATATTTATTTAAAACATAGTGAGTTCTCAGAATATGTTTCCTGAATTTTTCAATAAAATTAAATATTCCTTGCTCACTATTTAAGGCTAAAATAATTGGATATCAGCCTTTAAAATCGGACTAGACAGGCTAGCGGAACTGCAAACATTGCTTGAAAATTGTAACTTTATAACTTTTTAAAATCGAACTGTTAACCGTTTTTAAACTAATAAACAGATATAAGCATTGAAAAAGAATGGTAAATCTAGCCATTATTAAAATCTGTTTTACATAGGAAACATTCTTTAGGGGAGTTAATTTTCTGATTCTTAGTGTTATTAACTTACTACCTGCTTAAATAACCGGGCATATTATTTCCATATCCATTTTGGCAACTCACCTGTAGTTATTTTACTTCAAATTTCTTAACTTACAAGAGGAGTAATTTCTTAAAGATAAGATCACTGAATTCTAAAGATAAGATAAATTTCTAAAGATAAATTACCGAATTTTTGAGTTTTTTCCATATTCTTCTTTTCAAACAATAACAGAGAAGGTATACATATCTTACGTGTTAAAAATGAAAGCCATAAAATTCTTCCTGACATCTAATTTAAAAATCATTAATTCGTCTGCAATCAGATTAAAATACAGGGTGTTTATAAAGTCCCGGACCCATTTTGATGTCTAATAACTCATAAAGTAATAAAGATGGATTAAAATTATGAACATAAATGGTTACATAGACTCAAACAGTTTCATGCCCCTTGTCAATGAACTTCCACGTGTGCCCCCTTCGTCGCACGGAGAATATCAAGTCGATATTCAATTTCACGACAGGTACCGGCAAGCATGTCGGTTATTGCGGTTGTAATTCTGAGTTTTAGGTCATCAATGTTCGACACTCTGCTCTTGTAAACGTTGTCCTTTACAAATCCCCAAAGGAAAAAGTCCAACGGCATTATATCAGGTGATCTGGGTGGCCAAGGAATTGGACCTCCTCGCCCAATCCATCTTCCTGTAAAATGGTCATTCAAAGAACTACGAACGATGAGGTGGTGCACCATCTTGTTGCAAAAAGACATGTGGCTGAAGCTCTTCTAGTTGTGGAAATACAAAGTTTTCCAACATGTCTAAGTATACGACTGGTGAGACCGTCTTGTCTGTAAAAAAGGAAACTCGGTCGTGCATTAGTCCACACCACACATTAACCTTTGGGGAATCCTTTTGTGCCTCACGGTATTCATGGGGGTTTTCAGATCCCCATAACCCGTGCATTATGACACATTAAAAGAGAGAAAAATTGAATTAATAAACAGACGATATTTAGAAAAGTACAGATATTTAGACTGGCAAATGAAATTATCTGAAATTAACCACACGCTGCAGACGATATTTACAAAAGCAAAGATATTCAAACTTGAAAAATAAAATATATAAGTAATTTCAATAATAAATGCCATATGTTTTTTATATCTTCATTATTTTAGGAGTTATTAAACATCAAAATGGGTCCGGGACTTTATAAACACCCTGTATATTAAAGGTATTTTTAATAGCGCTCAAAAAAATCAAATCAAATTTCAGTCAAAACGAAATCTTATTGCAAATACTGAAAAATGTTTACTTTTCATGCCTATGATTTACTTCTAAACAGCTATTACAGACTATATGTTATTTTATATATATAAAATTTCCTCACAGACCCCTTGGTGCAAGTAGAAAGTTTAGATTTAAGTGCTCATATTTAAAAAAAAAAAAAAAAAAAAAAAATAAGGTTTGAAGTGGTAGTATAATTTTTACCTGAGATAATCTGAGTGTGTTTGAAGACGACATTATATCACATAAATAATGAATAAATAATGAAAATGTTTAGTACAATAAAATGCCTATTCACGTTTTCGATTTACTGGCATAAATTCATTTATAATTATGAATTAGGTAAACTGTATTAGGTAAAATTTCTTTATTTGCCCCTATATCGGAATGCTAAACAGATTCAGCAACAGATTGTGATATACTTCGATGTAAAGTGGAATTAACCGATAAAAGTTTCATATTTATTTGCCCCTCGCCAGTGAAGCAGTTCCTGCATAAGGCAAGCAAAATACTAAAATTTTTACCTTAGGTGATGGTACAATACTAAAAGTGTTCATGATGCGATCTGGATATTCCTCCCTAATTTTGGAGATCATCAGTGTCCCCATACCAGATCCAGTGCCACCACCAAGCGAATGCGTCAGCTGGAAGCCTTGTAAACAATCACAACCTTCAGCTTCTTTTCGCACCACATCCAGCACCGAATCGACGAGTTCTGCACCTTCCGTGTAGTGGCCTTTTGCCCAATTATTCCCTGCGCCACTCTGACCTGAAAAATAAATGAATTATGCCCCAAATCGAAAGAAAATGGCTAATCAAGACTTAAAAGGAATTGACTCTTCCACCTTCAGAATGAAAAATAAACAGGAAATAAAGTAATAGATGTCAGTATTATTTTTTTCTCTTAATTTAAATATCTTTTTAACGTTTAGGCTGTAATTTATGTAACATACCAAAGACAAAATTATCTGGTCTGAAAAGTTGGCCAAATGGTCCCGAGCGAACGGAGTCCATAGTTCCGGGCTCCAAGTCCACTAAAACAGCTCTTGGAACATATTTTCCACCTATTCATACAAAATATAGTTACAGATTAATTATATGCTAAGTTAGCATTTTAAAATTACCATTTTGGGCTAGGTCAAGATTTAAAAATATTTTACATGAATAAGTTCTCGCTTAATATAAAAGGAAATTAAAATAGTTAAAAAAAAAGAGTTGCGTGCTATAAAATTTGAAACTTCGATGTAGTGTTTGAAACGTTTGCCTATGTTTGAAACGTTTGTCAATTACTTAAGACAGAGGTTATAAACCGGTGGTACGCAAGACAAAAATACTTGGTACCCAAAGAAGCAAAGTATTTTAAACTATTAAATTAAAAAATTAAAACCCCAACTTCCTAATTAAGGTTTTTTTTCTCTAACACTCGTAAATTGCTGCGATTTAAGCTTTGTTCAAGAGTGGTGGTGGTAGCAATACTTTGTAGTGGTGGTACTAAAGATTTTCAGTTTTTGTTTAGATGGTACACGTTAGTCAAAAGGTTGAGAGCGCTGACTTAAGACACAAAAGATTTCGACTGAGACGCAAGCTCACATGATACCTAGAAAATGTTATCTAATATAAACACGAGAGTGTCGGGGAACGGTTACTCGAGCATTATCGAAATTTTACTGCAGAAATTGCTTTTCGCTCAAAATTGAATTGGCTAAAATGCTAAATAGGAATAAGTTTTTTGAATATCAGCATTGGTTCATAATTCCCTTCTATTCACGGAAATATTTGGCCTGACTTGAATTGCCAGTTTGGCTTTGCTTTATTGCTCGAGTAAAGACGAAACACCTTCGTATTTATTTATTAATTATTGTTCATTGAACGGGAGTTGGTTTGTTCCCCTTGAAAAGTCAACTAATTTCCGATCAATGACAATGATTACATACATTTAATTTAATTCTTGCCTTTAATTTATTCATTTTACAATTGAAATTTTGTTATTCATGATTTAATTCCAGTCCCCGTTAAAAAATTTTTAACAATTAATTTTCAAGTTACTTCAAAACATCTTTCAGAATATAACTTACTAGTATGGATTCACTCTTTTAAGATAATCCTACTATAATTAAACTTAGAAGATAATATAATCAATTAATCAATATTATTTAGTAAATAAATTATTATTAACTTACTTTGCAGCAATTGCGCAAGTAGTAGTAACTTGTTTTCGAACTAAATGAATTTAAGATCATACAACATTTGATATATAAATATATATATATAATTTAGACAGTATTTGCAGCTGAGGATGGTGGTTCGGTAAAACCATCGAAACAAGTCCTGTGAAAATTTTGTAAATATAACGCTGATTTTTGATGTTTGACTTCTGATTTGGTATATATATATATATACTCACTCACTCTGCTATTCTGCTGCACGAGCTCAGCTTTTTTTATTCTTATATGTTGGTAAATAGTGCATTTTTTTGTTTTAAAATGATTGAATTATATTGTTCTTATCTTCCGGTTAAGGTTTTTATGCCTTTAGGTAATCTGCATGCGATAGTTATAAAATTATCAACAATTTAAAAGTTGTTTAAGTGCTGTTAAGGCTCATTTTTTACTATAGCAGCCATATTTGTTTACATCTGAAACTTAGCAGAAGAGCGAATTAAGTCTCTCTGCACCTTCAGTGGCTTTTTGCGGCCTGGAACCAAAAAGAAACTTTTAGTTTTATGCACCGAAAAATCTGTCTTCTTACCTGCTGGCGAATTGCTTGTTTTTGCTTAGAAACTGTAATTTTACTTGTAATTTTTTAAAATTGTTTTAACCTTATTTGGTGTTTTATGTTTTTCTATATCTTTCAATTTTTAATGAAGATATGAGTTTTTATATGCTTTTTCCTTGCCGCGAAGTGAGAACTGAATTAATTTAATGAGAAATATATCTGTAATGAAATTCGAGGAAATAAGTTTAAAAGAAATGCTGGATAAAATGCGTATAATTTTATATTTCGTACAAGGAAGTCATGTGCACTTCAAGTGAAGTCACTTCAGATTTTTTATTATTTCAGCAGTAGGCTGAACATACATATCTAATACCTATCTTAATAAATTTTGGCTGCTTGCGTTTTGAAACTACACATTGTTTTAAAGCTTAGTACATTTAAATTTTAAAAATATGCTAATTATTGGGTATTTGAAACTTTATACATTTTAGCTGCAGTTTTAAAAATCAAGCAAGTTTTATCATAAAAAAAAAAAAAAAAAAAAAAAAAAAAAAAAAAAAAAAGCTGTTGTCAGTCCATCTAAAACTACGTTTCAGTGATTATCTATTAGTCTTCGGCAGTTGTCTGTGCTTATCACTTATCAGTCTATGTGCAGAGTGTACCTCTCGTCGATACTTCAGTCTCATTATCCCATATTATCCCATGCATAAATGACCTATGGATTCATTATAAATTTTTATTGATAAGGTCTCCCCGCCTACTGCCGCAAAAAGAATCCATATGCTAAAGTTGAAGTTGTAACAAAAATTAACCTAAGGAAATCTTTCCAGCGCTGACATTCACACACGATATCCATGATGACATTTTTATTTGCTGTCCTTCATGTCGCAGATTTTATTTCCAAATTGAGTGAAAATGAAATTGCTATCCTATAATCATACGTATCATATGGTAAACTCCAAAAAATTACTTAAGTGTTTTATGGAAATCATCTACACATGTAATATACGTGTTGCTATGGGTTTTGGAAAACATTTGTGAATTATTGATGACCAATGAAAGTTCGGTATAAATTATTGACCACTAGCGAAAATTGTTTTACTATTATGGCTATTAATACCTGTCGTTAATTAAATATGTGTTGAAAATACATTATGTGAATTTTACATTAATTTTCAGTTGTGTGTGTGTTGTGTGTGTGTGTGGACGCTGTTGTATTTGGCAGTTGCTGGTGACATTTAGACATTAGTGATAAAGTTCATCTTTCATCTTTTGAAGTAAGCTGCAGTATTTCAATGATTACTGGGTTTATAATTATACTAAAATAAAGATTTGTCTGAAGTCACCAACATCCTTCTTCCAGAGTATGGCAAAGCCTCGAGGGCTATCTGCCTAAGAGGAGGGATGCCTTCGTGGAGGACTTTCTAAGGGAAACTGACTCGTATACACGTTACACATGGGGAAAACCACGAAAACGCCCATGCAGCTAGCCCGTTCGCGGGATTCGAACCTCGGACCGAACTACCAGTGTTCAGCGACTTTACCGCTCGGCCGCTGGTGGGTCAATTTTCAGTTGAATTAAATTTAAACTAAGGCATTATTTTTACCATTGTAAAATAATAAATTTCAGCTTTTATGATCTAATATTAATTAAGTATATGTTGAAAATTTTTATAAATTTTATTTTTACTAAATTCAAACTAAGACTTTACTAAATTTTAACTTTTAAATAGCATAAAATATTAATATAAAAGCATCTAATTATTAAATTTAGACATAAAATTTAAAACATGTAAATACATTAAAAACAAGCATAATTTTAGTTCGTCTAGTAAGAAGAAATTATCTGAACAATATTATTTTTTAATATCCGGAGTCCAAATAATTCGGCTTATGCTGAATTTAAATGATATCATTTTCTCTGTTATCTGTTTCCGTTAAAGTTTTAACTAAGATTCAAAATTTGATATTCGCAAAAAATTTACTATATCTTTGCATGAATTTTGATGATAGTTTAAAATCAATTCAATTATTCTTAATAAGGAAATTTCAGAGCTTGTTTTAAGAAATGCATTTTAGAATAATATTAAATTACTCAAAGGAAGGAATACTTTACTTAAACAAAAGTATACTTCTTAGACCAATATTTATACTTTTAATAATCTCGTATTTAATAAATATGAATATATCTCCTGCATCAGTACAGTAAAAAAAAATATTTTTTCCTTACGAGTTAATGGTTATTTGTCAATACCGTGTTGTAATTATTAGACTAATACAATTTAATAATTAAATTGAAATTATTATGAATAAAATTTTCAAAACACGGGACACGTAATATTTATATGAATGTTATATTGCTCTCTAAAAGATGTTTAAATTTAAAATTTTAATCACAATTTTCACAGAGATTCTTACCAGTAGCTTCATTATAGTAAACATTTATTCTTTCCAGCTGCAAATCACTATCACCATGGTAGGTCCCCGTAGGATCAATCCCATGTTCATCCGATATAACTTCCCAAAACTAAAATAGAAAGAAAATTATTAACGGAAATTTTTCGTAAATCAAAGTCTATTTTATAAGAACATTTTGATAGCATTTTAAATTGCATATATATGACACACTCTTGCATATCTATCAGATAAAGGCCTTTAACAACTTCTGTAGTGAATGTACTTGTGAATATTTATTTAAGCTTCAGTTCAGGGGACGCTGTTGTATTTGGCAGTTGCTGGTGACATTTAGACATTAGTGATAAAGTTCATCTTTCATCTTTTGAAGTAAGCTGCAGTATTTCAATGATTACTGGGTTTATAATTATACTAAAATAAAGATTTGTCTGAAGTCACCAACATCCTTCTTCCAGAGTAACATTAATAGCAAGCTCTGCTTAAAGATTTTCCGCAAGCTCTGCTTAAAGTTGTGTGAGAATGATCTGAAATGATACTAGAAAAATGTAATTAAAATAATAAACTTCTGTGATTTTTTTATTTAATTTACCAAGTATATAGTTTTACTTAAATGTTAAAAAGATTTCATTAAAAGGTATAGCATAACAGTAGAAAGCTCTTCAAATGTCTAAACAAAAAGTTTAAAAAAATTATCCATTTTTAATTAACTATAAATATATTTATTACCTTGGCTCCAATCTGATTACCGCATTGCCCAGCTTGAATATGAACTATTTCACGCATATTTAATTGCAAGCAAAATGAAAAACTAAAAGCTGATTCTGATCGCACTAAAACTCTTAACACTTGAAATAGTAGAAACGTTTGGCGCAGAAATAAAATTCTGAAGAAATTGAAAATGGCAAAATTCCCTTAAACTTACTGTAATAATCTCGCGTTTTTAATCATGCGCTCAATTAATGTGAAAAAGTTCGCTTAATGATAACAGTGCACGTTTATAACTCGCTATAAATTTAACATTTATAGCAAGCGGCATAAAAGATTTGCATTAAAAAGAAAAAATATAAATATTTCTAGTATTTTTTTTCCTTAAATAAAAGTAATCAGTTTGAACTCAATATTATATATATAGATATACACATATATTTTTTTTATATTAGGCGCATTAATCCGCAATACTGAAAATAAGATTATGCGAAATCCGAAATCCACATGTCACGCAGCATCATTTGCACGAACTCAGAACGAGATGCAGAGCTTACAAACATTAACAACCTTTTGCTTTTTTTTTTCAAAACAATTATACGAACTATCGGCAAGTTAGAGAAGAATTTGCTTTATAGATCGGATAGCCATTTTCAGATATAAGTAATATTACCTGTTATAGAGCAGATCATATAGTTTGCCTTAATAAAATAATCCAGTCCAATCTAGTCCTCAGGCAAATGATATAATTTTCAAAGACGCATTAAACTGCCTGTCAAGCTTCTGGTACTGTTTTCAGCAAATTTGATTCAGCGGTACTTTTCTGTTTTGCCGCCGCAAAGGATAAAGTCGCCAATAATGGTACAACTAATGTCAAATTGAATATCTTCGCTGGTAACCTTTTACACCTTATTTTCAAAACAAGTCGCAGCCATTTCTTACCAGATTGATTGTTTCTTTCAATACTGGAATAGAATTACATAGAACATTTACAAAGATAATTAAATTTTATGCCCTAAGACCATTCGCGGTAATTAAGAGTCAATTGGGATGCAATCACATCGCTCACCCGAAGGCGAAAATATAGAAAAGGCAAAATCAAGGGTTAAATTCATCAATTCTAATGAGAATGCACTAGCGAAGTAAAGCACTACGGTTTTACATAATTTCTCAACTAAGCTAATTGTACGAATTGAAATAATTCTTGCATATAAACTTGTATTCAAAATTAAGATTTAACTTCAAATTAATGTAGATACTTACTGAGAGAATTCTATTTTTGTAGCGTAGTTTACGTGAGAAGAGATCACTTAGGGTCACGTGATGCGAACCAGCGAATCAGGATGTTGAACCATGATAGCATAGTAAATTCTTAAATTAAAGTCTTTTTACAAATTTATTGTCTTTATTTGTTGGCTTTTTACAAAATTATAAACCATATTAAAATGTTTATGTCTTCAAAATAAAAAATTCTTAAAACTAACATTTGTTATGTGTATACTGTATGTTGTCGCCAACTAAGTCTGCTTGGCGAGATTTTCGCCGGCAAAACGGGAAAAGTACCGATTCAGCATTGCTCAGGGGTCTATAAAATATTTAGAGATCACGTTTAAAACTTAAGTTAAGGAGGCATACCTGTATTTCTTTGGATTAAGAAGACAGTGTATTTTTGAATTTATTTTCTCTGAATACTGAGTCATAATCCAGGTTTTAAAAAGCTATATTAGCAATAATCTGTGTGTTATTCTTAGTTGCATCTGCACAGATATTCCTTGCTCTCTATACAATTGAAAAGATTCGATGCTTTTGATATAAAACGCTGGAAGTCTTTCCGGTGATTGGTTCTTGCAGAATTAAAATTACGAAGCCATAGAAATCATAACGTTTGACAGTATTCTACTTACGCATGCATAACCATATTCTGAGTATGCCAAAACCCCGAAATTAAAAATATGCATCAATATTTAAAAATCAAAATCTAACGATTTCTGTTAAACGATTTAACAGAAATTTGAGAAGGCAAATTTTCAAATTTCATTTCTTTCGAATCATAAATAGTATAACAGTTTATACTGCATTCATTGCTCTCGTCTCATTCTCATTCCGACCCATTACAAATTAGATTTTTTAATACAAGTCCCTGTATTTCTTCAAAGTACAGATTATTGCTTACACGTTTATATTTTTTTCATGATAAAATTTTAATGGCACAAGAGAAATTGTGTTGATTTTTTTCTTAAACATATCATGTGCAGTTCATATATGACAACAGTTTCAAGTAACGCATTTGAAACTATCGCAAACTTTCGTCACGGTGTGACATTACAATAGCTCTGTTTTGACGAAAGTATTGCGTACAGTTTTGTAATAGACTGAATGCACATAGAACCGATTGTAGCTTGGTAAAATTTATTTTACAAAAAAGAGCACTTTACATTTTTGAAATTTTCCACAAAACACTCGTAAGGCTCTTGTCATTATGACAGAGCACAATAAGTAGTTACACATCAAACGCAGAACCTTAAACACAGCACAACCCAAAACAGCGCTGCGGTCTCTCAATAACCCGAACTCACCCTGAAATAAACAACTGAGAAAAGATGCTCTTTCCGGTCAGCTTCATGAACTACTGAAAGGCATATGAAGCTCGGATATGGTGACAGCTACATGTAGCGATCGACATTTATTCAATCACAATACCAATCACAGTAATACAGGAACCGGACTCAAATGTCGCCAAATGGTCGCCAGTTTGCCGACTTTTGGAGATTTCTTCAGAAATTTAGCAACTAAAATTAGTCATCAAAACCGTCTCCTGTTTGGCGATAAATCGCCACTTTAGTGAGATAGCCATTTAATCAATGTTAAATAGACCTGCCCATTGTAATCCTATTTTCCTGGCAGCGCATCCTCTCGTTCAAGCATTTAATGTCACATGATACAAAAAATACTACAATTTGACATATAATTTCACTAAAGTTATTTACATATATACAAAATCTGTAACATTGCCTCTTCCCAAGAACTGCAAGTCCCGGGCAGTATAATACCTGGTCAGGAAGCCATACTTATATAAAGAGAATCAATCCAATACGAACACAAATTTCTATTGTAGAGACATTTGGTATTTTTTGGAAGCAGGCAAGATGAAAAATTAGCAACGCCTTCGTCGGGAAGCGAGCCGCGGACCTCCGAAATACCGGCCCAGCGTGCAGAACCACTACACCACGCAGACCAAGAAGGTGGAAGAAATACCTTATACTCTAAATAACATAAAAGGAATAAAATATTAAATCAATCACTAGATGCACAAATGTACAAATTTATATATAAATAGGACCATGATCTTAATATTTTATTTACATTATATACACTATGGGGGCTACGTACTATAACCATAGCAAGGGGCTAGCCTGTCATAATGAACGACATTAGTCCTAGAATGTGACTTACGGATCCGAACTATGACGTCGTTCAGCCTGTTTAGGACTGTGTAAAAGCCATCCCACGGTGACTGTAGTTTAGGAGACAGTCCTTTCTTCGAATTGGATTCTGTAACCACAACTAGTCACCTTCGTTGAATCGACGTCTAGTAGCTCTCGTGTCGTATCAGATTTTCTTCTCTGCCGCCAAGGTTACTCTCTCTCGTGCAAAACCATGCAACATTCAGACTTGAATGTTGCATGGTTTTGCACATTCAGGCTTCAATGTACTCTGCACACAATGAAGGCGCATCCGGAGGGCGACCAAACAAGAGATCACAAGGCAGACGAAGGTCACGACCGAAGAGCATCTGGATGTGCAATAACCGGTAGTTTCGTAGACAACACTGCGATGGGCCTGTAAGAACAGAGGTAGCTTCTAGTCCCAGTTCTGCTGATTTCTCGAAACCATCAGCAGGAGTTTATTCAAGATGGTTCGATTAAATTTCTCTGCTATACATTCTGACTGTGGATGTAAAGGTGTCGTTTGGATTTAACCTATAATGAGTAGTTTACAGAGTCCTTAATTACAGCTGAAATTCCTTTCTTAATAGGAATGTAACTGAAGAGGCACTCCAGAGAAATCCAGTACTGCATCATTACGTCTGCTACCATGAAAGCCTCTTGATCGGGCATAGGACACGCTTCAAAGTACTTTATGAAGTAATCAATTACAACGAGGATGTATTTCTTTCCTACAGAAATCCCAGGATGTTAAAGGCGCTCCTACATTGTAACGTTGCAGCTTCCCTCGACTGCGTTTCTTCAGTCCTTTCCAACTCGCAAAGGCATCGCAAGATTGGTAAGATAGTTTAAGACAGAGTCCTTTCCATCGAATCAGATTCCACAACCACACCTTGTCCCTTTCGTTGAATAGATGTTCTGAAGCTCTCGTGTCATATCGGGTCTTCATTTTCTCCGTCGCCAAGTTGAATTCGCTCTCGTGCAAAATTGTGCATCACTTCAAACCGGGCCTGGAGATCTTGGATGTATTCCTCAAGCGATGAAGGTGCGTCCAGAGCACGAATTAACAAACGATCACAAGGCAGACCAATATCACGACCGAAGAGCATCTGAGATGAGGAATAGCCGGTAGTTTGGTGGAAAGCACTGCGGTAAGCCAGTAAAAAGAGTGGTAACTTCTTGTCCCAGTCCTGTTGGTTTCTGGAAACCACCAATGAGAAGTTATTAAGGATAGTTCGAATAAACCTCTCTACCATGGCGTCTGATTGGGCATTTAAAGGTGTGGTTTTGATTTTGCCTATGCCGAGTAGCTTGCAGAGCTCTTTAATAACAGCTAAGGTAAAATTTCTTCCTTGATCAGAATGGAACTGAAAAGACAGTGCAAACCGGAAATCCAGTTCTGTATCATTATCACTGCTACCGTTACAGCCTCTTGATTAGGAATTGGATACACTTCAGGCCCCTTGGTGAAGTAATCTATGACAACGGGGATGTATTTGTTGCCATAAGCAGTTCGTGGTAGAGGTCCTAGGTTATCAAAGGTGATGCGTTCAAAAGACGATCCAAAATTGAAGCTCTGCAGTTTCCCTCTGATGCGTTTCTTCGGTCCTTTCGGACGATTACAAGCATCGCGTGATAGACCTCGCTTTCTTAATTCAGCCCTTGCATTACTCCAGTAGATGGGCCGTCTAACTCTATGCTATGATACTCTATGCTGCTCTCTATAAGTCTTC